TTTTGAGAATGATGATGGCAACAAATGTACAAATGTGCTTGACACAATGGATGGATGTATGGATTGTGGTAAGAGTTGTATGAGCCCCCAATACAGTGATTTAAAGAAAAAAGTGTCAAAGCAAGTCCCCCTTTTTCTCTCCTCATTGGCACTCTTGGTGTCATGGTTATGCCCTGAGCTGCTAACTGCAAGGTTAGCAGTTCAAAACTAACAGCCGACTCTGAGGGAGAAAGACGAAGCTTTCGACTCCCATGAGCAGTTACAGTCTAGGAAACTCACAGGGGCAGTTCTGAGTACTACTGTGCCCAATGGTCCCTGGGAGTTGGCATCGACTTGATGGCTGTTTTCTTAATGCTATTCCAGAAGCCTTTGGCCATTTGCATCTTGTTTTGTTCTTACCTTCTTTTTCATTAGTTCTTACCTGCGTGAGCGTTCTTGACCACTTCGAACAAGAGCCATCCATGTTCCCCAATTAGAATGATTTGGCCCTTAGGGTTTAATGGAGGTTCAGGACCATGGACAGATGTGTATGTCATACCCAAATATATATATTTTTAAAATCTTAAATTGTTTATTATTATTTTTTTCACATCCAAATATTTTAACAGGCTGAGATCCATTCAGTGGCAGTGAGTTTGGTTTGGTTTTGGTTTAAGATAGTCTTCAGAAGTCTCCACTGGTCATTATGCTTTTCATTTTAAGGTGACTGCATCTCCATTTTTGTCAGCTCTCTTAAAGCAAGGTTTTGCCTCCTGGAGATTTTCATTTCATGTATTTATAAACCATTTTATTGTCAAGTACCTTGACTTGATGACAAAGTATTTAGTACCTAAAGAACTTGAGGATCACATAGTTTTAGGGAACATTCAAAGTTACACAACTATTTAGTAAGAAATTCAGTTTTTAATTTCAGCTTTTATGACTCTAAAGACAACTTTTAATTACTAGAAATACTTGATTAATAGATGCTTAGTGTGTGTGTGTGTTTAGTTTTTATTTTATTGGGGGCTCTTAGAGCTCTTATCACAATCCATACATATATCCGTTGTTGTCAACCACATCTGTACGTATATTGTCATCATCTTTTTCAAAACATTTTTTTTTCTACTTGAGCCCTTGGTAACAGCTCCTTATTTTAACCCTCCCTCCCTCCCCCTTGCTCCCTCCCTCATGAACCCTTCATAATTTATAAATTCTTTTTCTTTTTTTTCCCCTCATGTCTTACACCAACCGCTGTCTCCTTTCACCCACTTTCCTGCTGTCCATCCCCCTGGGAGGGGGGGCAAACGTCGATTATTGTGATTGATTTTCCCTTACTTCCCCCCTTCCCTTACCCTCCTAGTATTGCTGTTCCTATTGGTCCTGAGGGGTATATCTGTTTTGGATTCCCTGTTTCAAGCTCTTTTGTGTACCAGTATATGTGTTTTGGTCTAGCCAGATTACAGAATTGGGGTCATGATAGTGGGGGGAGGAAGCATTAAAGAACTAGAGGAAGGTTGTGTGTGTCATTGGTGCTATACTGTACCCTGACTGGCTCGTCTCTTCCTTGTGGCCCTTGAAAAAACCATGGAGCAATTTTGCTCTGATACACATGAGAATTCTTTATAATGGTTCCAATGGTTTTGATTATTATGTGCTAGGTGTGTGTTCTTTAGTTTTATTATTCTTCCTAGATTCGCTGAGCTTTTTGAATTGGTCCTTTGCCATTTTGGGGGAGCTTTTAGTTTTTTTCCCAAATACTTTTTGCAGAGCCAATCTCTTTTCTTTCAGTGATTTGTCATTTTTGTACAGGCCCTTAAGATGCTCTTTTTACCCCTCCTATCCTTTTTACTCTCTATTGTTTCTATTATACATACTTGGAATACCATAGATGCTCAGTAACTGCTCGTTGGATTCTTTCTCCTATATCTTTTCCCAGGAGAATTTCTATGGATGGTCATAACTGCTATCATCTTTTTTTTCACATGTCATCTATGTGAATTGCATGCATGCAGGATAGCATAAACAAGGTTATATGTTTCTAAAATGATTAAGGACCAACAAACTTCCCCCAGACGCTAAAATACCATAATAATGGCCTCCACCTCAGGCCTTATAACAAAATCCCCCCAAAACAAACTCGGACAGCCCTTGAGTCGATTCTGACTCATAGTAACCCTGTAGGATAGAACTGGCCCTTTGGGTTTCCAAGGTTGTATAGCTTTACAGGAGCAGAAAAACTCATCTTTCTCCCATTTAGCCACTGGTGGATTAGAACTGCTGATCTTATAGTTAGCAGCTCAGTGTGTAGCCCATTGTGTCACCTGGGCTTAAAATAGATGATCTTATTTAAGGGATTATTTTATTTCCAATTATGCAGTTTTATAGAATTATGTGTTCTTCCGTATTTTATGAGAAAATTATTATATCAGTAGCTTAGTATTCATAAGAACTTTTTTAGTTGACACACATCTGATATATTGTGTTAACGTATAATTTTGTTGTATTTTAATAGGTATTTTAAGTTTTACTTCATTTACTATGATTTTTTAATAACTAAGGAGTCTCTGTGTAGTGTAAATTGTTAATGTACTTGACGACTAAATGAAAGGTTATAGGTTCAAGTCTACTCACAGGTACTTCAGAAGAAAAGCCTAGCAGTTTACTGAAAAATCTGCCGTGTTAAGCTGAGTTTTCTAGAGGAACAAAACCTCTGACATTCATATATATAAAAAATATAAAAAAGAAATATTTTATAACAAGA